AAAGAAAGAAAGAAAGAAAGAAAGAAAGAAAAAGAAATGGAAGGGCTAAGCACAAAGAAGAGAATCAGGTCAGATTACCTAAAGTCTGAATAAATAAAAGGTCTTTACACTATACATGAAACATTAAGTCTATTTATTGGTTGTCTGGAAAGTCATGGTATATTTTTCTGTTTTTCTATGCAAGAACGTGTCAACTTTACCAATAACTCAACAGATTTGATTATAGCTGGCTGAAATGCTATATAGATGAGTAAACCTCCATCTGATAAATATTATTCATCGACATTATTATGCAATTCTTTCTGCACACTCATCTCTTTATCTGAATCTCTGCCACTTTTCCTAAACTATTAAGCTATGTTTCCATGTAACATGTAAATATAACCCTTCCTATGGCTGAGGGAGGAAAGAGAGAGAAATTCAGCTACCCTCAACCTCTGCAACCTACCTGCTCTACCTCTGCTGTTGTTTTTTTTGTTTTTTTTCTTTTGTAAGTAATTATTATACAAATTGTCTTCTTTATTCATAACAGAGGGTGTGCACGTACATATGGAGAGAAAGAAGATACGGCTATAGATTCTGGTCATGCCATGATCACCTTTCTCCAGTCCTCCAGCTCAACGGATCTTGGGCCCTTGAGCACATTCCCTGTGTGTTTCAGGCACACCAGGCTGAAACTGAACCATGGTCACTATGTGGGATCAGGTCTCTTCACCAGTGCATTACCACTGTGCCACAGACCTGGCCCCTGTTGGTTTATTCTCAAAGAAGCCAAAATTCTCAAATTTTCAGTTTCTCCAGTGTGTTTAGCTATTTAGTTTAGCAATTCCTAAAATACTGAAAAACATGCTTTTCACGTAAAGTCTGTGTCTGCATGCTGCTTTCGTGTTCCCCCATGATGCTACTATAGTACTCACAGAGCTTTCAATATCTTCAGGGTCTTTTCACACCATCCTTTCTTCGCCACTGCACTTCCTTCCTGACCTACTTCTTGTTATTTCCCTTAGGAGTCTCAGTGAGGGGGCCAGCAGGTGGCATAGTGGTTAAGATGCTGGACTCCCATGTGGCTGATGCAGTTTGAATCCCAGATCCTAAATCGAGCAGCTTGAAATTCATGCCGGGTGCATGTACATGCATGCCCAAGATCCCGAGAGAACAAGAGTGGAGGAGGAAGGATTGCAGTGTGGCATTTCTCCCTAAGGGACAGAGGTAGGTGATTTCTCACTTTCGGTCTCTCTGTCTCTCCAGTGAGTACATGTGCACTATAGCAAAAATCTCTTCAAAAGAAAAAAAGTCATTTCAGTGACATAAGTAATAACATGATTATTAACAACCTTCTCCAGGGGACCAGCAGATGGTGTAATGGTTACATCACTGGACTCCCACACAGTCAACCATGGTTCGAGTTCCAGACCTGGCTGCTTAAAACTCCACCGGGCGTGTCTGTGTGCATGCATGCCCAAAATCTCAAGAGCAGAATGGAGGAAAAGGTACTACGGTGTGGCCATCCCTACTGGGGGATGATTTCTTGCTTTCTGTCTCTCTGGAGAGTGCACGTGCTCTATAGAAAAAATCTCTCATAAAAGAGAAAAAAAAACTTCTTCAGTACCCCGGCACCTAACCAAGAGTCTCTATAGTCAGCCGACTAGAATCTGATTCACAGACTAATCTCTGGGATAATCTAAAAGTACAGAAGAGCAGGGGCTGGATTTTAGTAAGCAAAACTCAAAACTTTGCACTCCTAAATGAGGACACCAATGCCTTCTTCTCCATGTCACTGCTTAGACATAGGATGAAGAGAATCATCACTTTGGTTCATAACTAATCCTTCTAGTATATGCTGTAAAAACAAAGAAAGGAAGAAAACCAAACACAAATACTCCCAAAAGGCCAGGGATGAGCAGCGTAAAGGCTAGAGCCTTCCTGGACAAGTCAGAACACGCTGCTGCTGAAGGTGGCCCCAGCCTCCAAAGGCAACACCAATGCCTAGGAAATGGGGCTTGGGTGCTCAGCAACGAATAGGAGCTCCTGACAGGCTTCACTACTTCCAGTCTCACCTCCCGCTATTCCACTCCAGAACTAGTTACTACTTTCACTCCTTCTTTACTCAAACTCTCTTCCTAGTTCTTCCATGTTAAGCCCTGAGCCAGGCATAGGACACAGCAGTGGCAGAGCAGGAGTCTTCAGCTGGAGAAAGCTCAGAGAACAAACAAAAATCCGATTATGTCACTGTTTTGCTGAAAGTCCTTCAGTGGAGACCATTGGTGTAATGGTTATGTCACTGGACTCCCATGTAGTCGACTGGTTTGAGTCCCGGATCTGGTGGCTTAAACTCACACCGGGCACGGGTACGTGCGTGCCGAAGATCCCAAGAGGAGAATGGAGGAGAAGGGATTTAGGTGTGGCCATCCCCCCAGGGGGGTGATTTCTTGCTTTCTGTCTCTCTGGCGAGCACACACTCCCTATATAGCAAAAACCTCTTTAAAAAAAAGAAAGAAAGAAAATCCTTCAATGGCATTTAAGATTCCTCAAGATTTGTCTCTGATAGTCTTCCTAGCCTCATCTCCCACCTCTTTCTGGTCTATGCCTTTAAGTTCTGGACATAATGAACTACTTTGGGGTTTACTATCTGGTGCTAATCCCCTGGCTACTGACTCTGTCAGTCATTTCATTCTCTAAGCAAGCCTCCCCTGATCAATTAAGAGCAAGCAAGGTTCAAGGGAAAATTCTGATGTGGTGTGCAGCTTCTCTCTCTCTCTCTCTCTCTCTATATATATATATATCTATATATTATAGATATATATATTTTATATATATGTATATATAAAATATATATATATACACACACACACACACATATTTTTTTTGACAGAACACTTCTCTCCTTTCCACTGTGTGAAAATAGATCTAGTAAAATCAGCTCCCAAATGGCTGATGCAACTCGACAAACGTGCCCTTTCCTTATTTTCTCTAAAGCAGTTTCTGAGAGGATATGACATACACTCTGCTTTTCAATTTAAAAAAAGGTTAAAGTAACTTTGGCTGGTATAAGAGTGACAAAAATCTGGAGAAAGTCAAATAGAATTCTAGGTAGTCTTTCGAATTAATTCTATTTCTTAAAACAATGTGAAGAACTACTACTGGCACAGCTGATAGTCCATCAGCACCAGAAGGGCTTGCGACAGACACCATCGTCAGCTAGGGGCCCTGATGTGTCTCTGCTCATCAGAGCCACTGATCTGGTAGTGGGGCCAGCGTCCTAGACAATGTAAGCAAGCGCATGCTCCAGCCACCAGCATTGCACCTTCCTTACCCTTCTTACCCTTCCCATGGCTACTTTTTGGGTCAGAGAAAATAAAGTTTAAGAGTTTACTAACTTGAAAAATTTTTTTTGTGAGATGTCACTGCGGCTCCATCAGTTAAGAGACTAGTTAGTTAAGCAACAGCTCTGGCTGGGAACCAGCAGTTAGCATAATGGCTATGTTGCTGGACTCCCACGTAGTTGACCGCGGTTCGCGTCCCGGACCT